CTTATTAGATTTGATGAATTTAACCCTTGACTTTGCCTTTTCTATATTTTTGCCTTCGGGTGAGCGGTGTGATTGCACCCTAGTCGACTTAATTAGCTAGAATGGCCTTAGGGCACAAAACTGAACTCTCTGGTAAAAATTCTATTTAATTGTATGCTAGTAGTGAAAGAAACAATCTATTTGATAAGAAATGGCTGCGACTTGTTTTGAAATGAGGCGTAAAAGGTTACCAGCGAGGATATTCCGTTTGGCATCAGTTGTACCATTATTGGCGACTTATCACCTGTGCCGGCAAAACGGAAAAGTACCCAGATTTTTTTTTTAAAATCTAATTTAATTTTAATATAATTTAATTTTGAAATACTGTGTTTGTTTTTAAAAGTTTTACTGCTTAATATTATTGTTACATATATGTTTAATATTATATTTATATAATATTTGAAGAAGGTTAAGCTGTTGTTGGTGGAAGAATGTTGAATTTCATACGACATGAAGTTTATAATTTATGAATATTTTCCTTTAATTTTATATTTAGTTAATTTTTTTAAAGTTTTGTTTCTTGCATGTGGCAATCGAAAGATGTGGAATATTTAAAGCTTTGAACGAAAGTTGTTTAGTGTGTTGAATTCTACGACGATAGTAACTTGAATATTTTAGTTGGTTTTATGATGCTGAATGCGCATAATTTGCTATTCTGTTTACGTTTAAAACTGACTTCGCGCAGTGCTCTGATCTGATAAGTGTATACATTTATTTACTCAATAATTATTTACAAGAATTGTTCATTCTACTATTTTGTGATGAATTACATACAGTGGATGGACAAAAATATGGAAACACCTTGTGAAATGCATGTTTGAAAAGAAAGATTGATTTTAATGAAATATGTAGGTGGCGCTGGCGTTTTTGACTACTGACGCCACCTATACAACTTCGTAAATGTGCTAAACAGATCAGTTGTTGTCGGAGTACTGTTATGTGAGGTTGTCATTGCATTATGTCAGAGTTAACAGACTTCGAACGTGGGCAAATTGGTGGAGCACGTATGGTAGGTGCTTCCGTAAGCAAGGTAGCCGAGGTGTTTAGTGTTTCAAGAGGTACTGTATCGAAGATTTATTCCGCATATTTGAAAACGGAAAAACATCATCTGCTAAATCACAGCGAGGACTAAAGTGTGTCCTGAGTGATCGTGACAGACGATCATTAAGGGCAATTGTAACGAAAAATAAGAAGACCACAGCTGCAAAAGTTACTGCTGAAATGAATGTTGTGTTACCGAGCCCTGTGAGTACCAAAACAATTAGAAGGGGAGCTTCATAAACAGGGAATTGCTGGCCGTGCTGCAATTGAGAAGAGAACCACTCATCAGTGATGCTAATGCCCGTAACAGTAAAGGTGTGTTTAAGAGTCGTAAAGCCTGGACTATAGAGCAGTGGAAGCGAGAAAGAGAAATATGGTCTGACAGTCTTCTTTCCACATGTTTCCCAATTCTGGCCGAGTTTTACGTTGAAGAACGCCATCTCAAGCCTATAATACAGACTGCTTGTTGCCAAGAGTGAGTGAAACATGGCGGGGGTTCTGTTATGGTTTGGGCAGCCATATCGTGGTTCTCTGCTAGCCCCATGATAACTGTGTCAGGGCACATGACTACCAAGACTATGTGAACATTTTGGCCGATCAAGTTCATCCCATGCTACAAACTTTGTTCCCCGATGGTGATGGTGGTCTTCCAAGACGACAAAGCCCTGTTCACACAGCTCACATTGTCCAGGACTGGTTTTCTGAGCACGAGGATGAGTTGTCCCATCTCCCCTGGCCACCACAGTCACTAGACCTGAATATTATCGAACCTTTGTTGTCTACATTGGAACGGAAAGTGCGTTCTCGTTATCCACCGGCAACATCGTTATCTGAACTTGCCACCGTTTTGGAGGAAGAATGGTATAATATTCCCTTGGCAAACATACAGGAACTGTATTTATCCATTCCGAGAAGACTGCAAGCTGTTTTGGATGCCAACGGGTTTCCTACACCATATTAAGCAAAGAAACATGTTTTTTTAAAGGTGTTTCCATATTTTTGTCCAACCCCTGTATATATATATGACTATGCTTTTACTTGCAAAGCTGTTGGACTTTCTTTTGCTCATCTAGTAATTTATCATCTCATTTTGCTATTCTGTTTACGTAAAATAACGGCGTTTCACTACTGCAAAACTTAAAAGTTGCTATTCTGTTTACGTTTAAAAATCACATTTTAGTGCTTTCATTTATTGCGCATAAAAAATTCGCCAAATTTTGAAGGCCGAAATAGTTTGGCGCCAACTTACCCTGCTTATGGAATTTTAGCCGACGAAGAGTATTGGTCTGATTTACAGATGAAAACAAATTTAACATTTCCTGTTCCGATGGGTGTATAATTGTACGGAGAAAAAAAAAAAAAAAAAAAAAAAAAAAAAAAAAAAAAAACATGAGCTTAATCCCAAGACCTTGGCTGGAACAGTAATGCATGGCGGTGAAGATGTTATAATGTGAGGGTGCATGACAGCATCAGGATTAAATGATTTAGTATTTACTGATGGCACAACGAACTGTGCTCTTTATTTAAATATTTTAAAAGACAATTTAAAGTTATCCGCCCAAACGTTGCATGTTGGAAACTTTATTTTTTATCCTAAGCACACGACGTTTCACGTTCACCTTTGATATGTCTATAATTGTCCACTACTTCTGAAAACACCGCTTAAGTTACCATATTTAAACCAGACCGAACAAATTTAGAGAGAATTAGAGGTTAGAATATACGAAGACACTAAAAACGAACTAAAAACTGTAAGGATGGAAGAATAGAGGAACATTGATGCAGATATTACAAAAACTGCTGAATTCTATGCCCAGACATTTGAAGTATGTAATAAATACTGCAGGACATACTACAAAATACTAACTGACAGATATACTACAGTATTTACTAATATGTGCATATTTCTCTAACGCGTACGAAGACGTTTGTGAGACAACTTTCCTCTTAATTTTATTATAGATTTTCCAAAAGGAAGTTTTAATATATTCATAAAATTATTAATGTAGTTTTGCTAAGAGAAATTAATAGACATTATTAAAATTTTCATTCTAAAATATTAATTTTTCTTTTCGAATAAAGCAATATTTCACTGAAACTCGTAAGTGTAAGTGCATGTTCTTTTCATTTTTAATAGCGACGTTCTCTTATTTGAAAGTACGTGGATTTAAATCCACAGCCCCGTAGTCAAGTTGTTTTTCCCGCCTTTTCTACACGTACAGTTATATAATGTTCTGGAGATATTTAAAGCGAACTGGATTGGCTGTCGAAAGCTGACGTCATTTCTTGGAAGCTCCGCCTTTCCAGAGGCTATAAAAAGACTCGCAGAAGAATATCGGGGCTTTTTCTTAAATGTCACGATGCAGTAAACTTCATAAAAAGTTATTAGTAATTCTTTTTATTTACTCCGGATATCTGATTTTGTAACTGCTATTTCTCCTGACCAATAATAAATGGATCCTGTTTTTTAAACTTATCGTCTGATAATTTAAGTTACGACTTCATCTATATTTCTTCAGCAATCTAGTTATTCCGGACAAAAGCTGGTACATCACATATATATATATATGTGATGTATCAGCTTTAGTCGTAGAATAAATACATTGGTGAAGAATCATAGATGTAGTCGTAACTTAAATTATCAGACGATAAGTTTAAAAAAACAGGATCCATTTATTATTGGTCAGGAGAAATAGCAATTATAAAAAATCAGATCTCCGGAGTAAAACTTTTCGTATGAAGTTTACTGCATCGTTACATTAAAGAAAAGACCTCGATACTCCTTTGCGAGTCCTTTTATAACCTCTGGAAAGGCGGAGCTTCCAAGAAATGACGTCAGCCATTCCAGTTCGCTTTAAATATCTCCAAACATTCTATAACTGTACGTGTAGAAAAGGCGGGAAAAACAACTTGACTACGGGGCTGTGGATTTAATTCCACGTACTTTCAAATAAAAGACCGTTGCCATTAAAAAATGAGAAGAACATACAGTTAGAATTGTAAGTGTATTCTTGACTATATAATTTTATTATTACATATATATATAGAGAGAGAGAGAAAGAGAGAAATGTTTTCACCCTGTTACCCTACTCGATGGGCTAGGTATTTTTATTCTTATCTATAATTTCAATCTTATAAAATGTTGGTAAATAGCGCGTTGTTTCTTTGAAAGCGGTTGAATTATGTTGCTCCTATGCTCCAGTTAAGGCTTTTATGCCTTTAGTTACTCTACATGCAATGTGTAACAGTTTGTAGAAACTGTTACATAATGTATATCGTAGTACTGCTACTAATAACAAGCTGCGCCCTCTAGCGGTGTGGATGGATCAATACCATCTCTGTATCAGCTCAAATCCAGCAACTAGCGGAGTTTAACCGTCTGTTCTATGCAAACTGTGCATCAAAAATAAATTCCTATTTTAAATTATAGTTCACTGTGTTATAATTCTAATTAAGTACACAAAACCTCCGTAACAGATACATTAAGATTAATTTTAAAAGGAGGAGTGATGAAAAATGAGCAACGCCCTTGCCGGGAATCGAACCACGGACCTCTGGAATGCGCGCCCAGTGTGCAGACCACTACACCACGAAGGCATGCTAAGAAGACGGTAGAAATACTTTATAAGTTGCAGAATTATATACAAATTAAAATTTTAAGTGGTGCTAGGCCTAACGAAATGCCATTTGTTTATACTTTGAACTCTTAGTAGAATAGTGAATTAAGCCAGTATACATTACAGTGAAACGCCACAAAATGGAAAAAACGAAATTAAGAGCCCTTCTGGGTTAAAAAAATATCTTTGCCATATTTAGTATTTCATTTCGATTAATGAAAATAAAAGTTTACATTCTGAAAATAAATCGTACTTTTTTCTCTTGAGAAAAAATTATTAGAACACTTAGAAATGCTTGAATACCTGGCCGTGGGCAATTTCAGAATTTTGAGCAGCGGCGGTCCATTGGACAAAGCGAGGAGTCTCTTGCTGACGGCTCCTGAAAAAATGGACTCGTCCAGAAGTAAGGTCACTTCGAACCAGTCTTGGGACGACAGGAAGTGGAACAGAGCATCAGCGAGATCTTCAGGACCTGGATCCAGACTCAGAAGCCACTCATTCATGTCCTAAAAAAAGATATATAAGTTAAATATAAAATACAGATAAAAAAGATAAATAGTGTTACGAATTTGCTATTTAAAACGCTAATGTTAGTTCAATTATAAATTAAATGGTTTTATTTCTCGCGCAGTGCAGCGCGTGACGAATATTAAAAGAAAGCTAAGCCGGAAAAATTAAAAATACAAGAGCGCGTGCGTTAAATAAATAAATATCTCTTTTTGATTTCGAGAAAGTACTGGAAAATTCTAGCGCGTGATTTTAAAATCTTATAAAAGGAGGAAAACATCTCAGTTTGCGTAGTTTGCTTAGTTTGTTGTTGTTTAGAAAACTGCTCTTGTTGATTGTAGCGAATTCGCGGATTAGCGTTCTTTAGCTGTTTTGAATTACGTTCTATTGGATATTTGAGTAGTTAAAAGATAACTACTGTGAGATATTGTAATACTGCATGATAATTTGAGAAAATTTAAGTATTTTTGTTGTGATAATAATAAATTTTTGTTCATTTTTCATCGGACTTGTGCATTCATTTCATAACGAACCCGTACGCACGCAACAATATAAAAAAAAGATATTTAAGTTTTTATAAGTTACATTTCACCTAAACATAATCTAGAACTTGGATTCTGTCTTGAGGAATCAAACATCAAACGATATCCCCAGAATCGGAAGCCAGGCTTAAAATCTGCTCAGCCACCCTCTCAAAAATTTAGAGAGTACAGTGGCCGTTTAGAAATTTTAATATAGGTTTAGGAAAATTTGCTATCTTCTCAATAAAGCTTACAAAAACCACTAAATAGTTATGCATTCCCTGGTTTGTTTATTAATAATTAATCGATAGAAAAAAATAGGTTTGAGAAATAATATACAGGGTGATTCTAAATTGGTTCTACAAATTAAGAGAGGTGATAGTACCCAACCAGACGAGCAATAATTGTTATAGAACACAGGGTCGGTTTCGACTCCGAGAGGCAGAAAAGAAGAATATTAAAATCCCAGTCTGAACTTAAAAACAGTGTTGGGACAGCGAATGAACGAGACGGAAAGTTGCACAATCAGTTTAGTGACAAACTCACAGAGAGTGCACAAAACGGATAAAACCGAAAACGTGGCGTTCGAGTGTTAATTCGAGCTGAGACTTTGATGGTGTAACAGCTTTAAATAATATTAAAATCTTGTAGTTTAAATAATTTAAATAGATGAACATTAAGGTATTTGTGAATGGCAATATTTGAAACCAGACTCGAGTGTCTCGTGCGACTCTCGCACGAAGAATGTAATTTATTTTTAAAATGTTAGAATATGTTTTATCTTCTTGTTTGTATGTCGCCATTTTTTTGAGTGTTAAATAAAGTCATTGCTGTGTTACCATCAATGGAATTTGCTTCGATTTCGCGAAAGAAGTATCACAGTCATTAATTATTTTTGGAGGCACCGACCGAGATCGAATAATCGTGCGTATTTTATTTTTATTAGTTCATCATTGAACATAATATTAGTGATACCAGATTATTACCTCCCTGTTAATATTGAATTGCTTTATTTATTAGTTCATCATTGAACGCAATATTAGTGATATCAGATTATTACTTCCTGTTAATTTTGAATTGGCTTTATGTTATTAGTTCATCACTGAACGCTTATTAGCGATACCAGATTATAACTTCCTGTTGATATTGAATTGTCTTATTTTATTAGTTCATCACTGAACATAATATTAGTGATACCAGGTTATTACTTCCTGTTAATATTGAATTGCCTTATTTTACTAGTTCATCACTGAACGTAATATTAGTGATATCAGGTTATTACTTCCAGTTAACACTGAACTGCCTTATTTTATTAGTTTATCACTTGAACGTAAACTTAGTGATACCATTTTAATGCCGTTTCTAACTAGAGCTCAAAGGAAAAGAAAAATATCTGAAGAGCAGATCTTGGAACCGCTGAAGGAAGAAAATAAAGCATCCAGAGATGTATTTGAAGAAGAAGTTAAATCACCAGAATTAAACGTGGAAGATGTTCACGAAAATTTGAAAAACGATAAAGGATATTGAGAATCATTTTGCAATGCAGCGTTATCATCATCTTTCGGCTTTTGATTTAATATAAAAGCCGCTACTAATAGACGAAGAAAACAATTGTCGAAAACAAATGACAATTGAATATTATCCTAAAGGCACAGATGAACTGAGGAAAGGCTTTGCTAAGAATTATAGCCGAGGAACTGGTCCAACATGGAAGAGATCTAGGCGCCGTCAAGGAAAAAAAGGAAGACTAATTTTAACACTATTTTTTATTTAAATGTGGTGTAAAAATATTTGTTTAAAATTAAAAATTTTCGGCCTGAAAATTTGGAAACTTATGAGAGAAGTTATCTTTTCTCTTTAAGCAAATGAGCTAGCCGAGCTTATAAACTTTCGAAATTTACAGAACTTTTCCCTTCGGTAAAAGTCTCTCCGTTGGGGGAGAGGTTGTAACAGCTTTAAATAATATTAAAATCTGTAGTTTTTAAATAATTTAAATAGATGAACATTAAGGTATTTGTGAATGGCAATATTTGAAACCAGACTCGAGTGCCTCGTGCGACTCTCGCGCGAAGAATGTAATTTATTTTTAAAATGTTAGAATATGTTTTATCTTCTTGTTTGTATGTCGCCATTTTTTTTGAGTGTTAAATAAAACTTATTGCTGTGTTCCATCATTGGAGTTGTTTCATTTCGCCAAAGAAGTATTACAATGGCAAACACTCAAATGCACATCTCTGGTCTGCAAGGTTTCAATCTCGAAACGATTGCAACAAATTAATTATGTAATCAAGAGCTGAATATTATAAACTAACTACAACGTCCGCTGCATGCCGAGATTAGCATGAAAAGCTTCATTAGCATGAAAGTTGCGTTTCGGCTGTCAGAACTTCGTGTCCCATAGAAGGGCGCTTCAAGTAAAATGAGCGCAGCAGAGTAAGTCCAAGAAGACAGGATAGAAGATGGCTAAGAGAAAAACAACTGCTACTTGATATCAAGGTAGTTTTCCCCCCTAATAGATAATTTCCCCCTAATAATTTACATAATTAACTTCTTGCAATCATTTGCGAGGTTGAGACCTTGCCAACCAAAGATGTGCATCTGTTTGTTTGCCATCAAAGTCTGAGCTCGAATTAACACTCGAACGCCAAGTTTTCGGTTTTATCCGTTTTTGTGCACTCTCTGTGATTTTGTCACTAAATTGATCGTGCAACATTTCGTCTCTTTTATTCGCTCTCCCAATACTGTTGTAAGTCCAGATTGGACTTTTAATATTCTTCTTTTCTGCCTCTCAGAGTGGAATGCGACCCTATGCACTATGGTAATTATTGCTCATCTGGATGAATACTATCACCCCTCGTAATTTGTAAAAGTAATTTAGAATCACCCTGTATATTTTTTTATGTTGCCACATGTTCTATTCAAATACTATAATAAAGCTAGAATGATGTATAAAAGAAATTAAGCAAACAAAACAAAAAAGAAGAGTTTTTCACAGACGATTGAGTATTTCTCACTCAATTAATTCAGTTCTCACTTCGCGACAAGGCAAAAATATATAAAAACTCAAAATATCTGTATTAAAAATTACGAAGTAAATCTTAAACGCTTATTTTCTCGAAAAAAAATCCAGAAATTATTAAGCATGATTTAATTGGCAATAATTAATGAAGGCGTTATCCTTGTTGTTGCGAAGGTAAGTTTCTCTAGATTGGCAACAAATCCACTAGTCTGCTGTTTCAAATGTAAACAATCAATGGCCGCCATAAAAAAAAAGGCTTAGCCGCACTTAAACAACTTTAAAATTGTTGATAATTCTAAACATATTGCAGACAGATTTACTAAAGGCATAAAAACCTTAACCTAAAGATAAGAACAACATATTTCAATCATTTTTAAAGCAAAAAATGTACAATTTACAAACATATAAGAGTAAAGAAACTGAGATCACTGAGCCGGGTAACAGAGCGGATATATAAACATTTAGATATGTTTGGTACTGCCGATTGCAACCAAAATACGAGGTGCACATGTACATGTTATAGCAGTCCTATATACAAAATTTCAACGTTCTGAGGCTACTCGTTTTTGAGTTATGCGAGATACGTACGTTCGTACAGACGCCACGAAAAATTCTCTTCAGAATTCATTTTAAGCAGTTTTATAATTTTTTTGGAGAAAACGAGTCTTTTATTCTGTCCTTACGTACAGATATCACGCAAACACATCGTTAAATTGCATTCGAAAGCGGTAAAAATGGATATTTTCGATGAAATATGCTGCTTGAAACTTTTCGGGATTACAATACTTCCTTTCTACTTCGTACAAGGAAGTAATAATGTAACAGGATCCCGTATCAACTTTTTGCTTTAAATTTATTGCAGACACTTTTGCGACGCATCCAATTGAAAGAAATAAATCGACACAAACTCGGCCATTTAGACCTAATATAAGCCAATTAGGCGGGAATCATGTTCCGGATTATATACCCGGAACATCGAAAAAAACCAACCTTACGCGAAGGTGTTCGCTTTGCTACAAACGTAAGATCAGGAAGGAATGGCGTTACTGGTGTTCGATTTGCAGAGTCCCATTGTGTATAGTACCCCTGTTTCGCTGAATATCACTCCACAGCAGGAATTTAAACTCTTACTTTTATACGTATGTATTTAATTTAATTGATAGCGTTTTTAGTTTAATATGTATGTAATACATGCTTATGCTAACATATAAGTAAATATTAGAAATAAAATTTTCAATTTTTTAAAATAAACCCATCTTACCGGCGCAACTTACTCTGTGATGGACGAATATACTCGTAATGGCTTGATTCTGGGGGACACGAAACGGTGCACACCCTTAAACGAGGGGGGCGGCCACAGTTAACCGGTTAACCAGGAAGCTATTTGCAGTTAGTGATTTTAGGTACTTTTCCGTTTTGCCGGCGCAAGCGATAAAGTCGCCAATAATGGTAC